GAATCCTTTTCGGTCCGATCTGTAACAATAGGAACGTTGTTTCTGACGTAAATAACGACACTGAGCTTGAATAGTCTGCAATTTAGGAAGGTATGAATTGTTGTGGTTGCATGATTCTTTATCCTGATAGTTTTTGAAGTTTGCTGCGCAGAGATAAACCAATTACAAACTGCCCAACGTTTCGGTTTTTGAAGATGAAACTAGCGGGATCGGAAACGTCGGAAACTTGCAGATAATAGATCGGTATGGAAGCAACATATTTACGGACCCTGGACGAAGACACGAATGAAACTGACAACGCGTACAAGGCTGTTAAAAAATGTACTTTCTGGCATTCGATACAACTCCAATCTCTTCCAACGAGCGGAACTGACTGCGAAAGGGGTCTGTAAGATGTGAGACCGAAACGCTGGGAAACTTACCACAACAAAGAAACTGCATATTCAGTTATACTACAAAGCAAATGGTTCACACAGTCATCGCTAAAAAACAAGAGAGAAAAACTAAGTTCACAGAAAAAATATACACTACACGGCTTTTTAGTCGAGCACGAATTACCTTCGTCAACGCTGGCGGACGACCTAATTCGAACTTCCGCTTCTTATGCGGTGGCTTCCTCTTACCACCTGTATTTCGTCGCTTATGCCAATGGTCGCGGGATATACCCATTTATAATCTGAAAAAATTTGTGTACAGTCAAGACAGCAACAGAAAACAACTGCTCAAACACGCACATCTCGACCAACAGTTCTGCTCTGCAGCGCCCTGACTTATTATCGTAAGTTTTGGCGAAAAAAACGACTAAAAATTTCAGCTTGCAATACCGTAAGGAAAACAATGAAAATAGATTTCACGTAAGACAGTGGTAAGCAAGATTTTATGCACAACTATTCTGATCGGTGTAATAAGCAATCTTAAGTACCGCCAGCCATTTAAAGAACTGCACTCGTCATATGCATCCATACTAAACCGGCTTGGAAAGCAGTCGTGGAGCCCACCATGAACACGCTCCTTTAACAAAAAATGACGAACTCCGCCGAACATGGATCCAAAGATTTACAAAGCAAAACCGAACCATATCCTCTTATCATAACTGGGAAGAAACACGCATGACATGACTTTGATCGCCAAGCAAACGAAAATAACATGCACCAACAAGAATAATCGCAACAACTAGTGGCGCCAATGTACCGTACCTTTATATATGGGATGGCTTACCATAATCGGATACCATTGAAGACAGAATTAGATATCCAGCAGTTTCTTCGCCAAGGCTGTACTAAGTGTTTTGAGCAAGTTTACCACCTCTATATTCGCACAACATTATAACTGTGTACGATACTAATAATCGATCGTAGTATAGGCATAGAAACCACCTGATGAGTAATTACGTACTTTTCACTACAATTATCGATGTAAATTTGCAGCACAAACCACATATAGTATGTTTCTGGAAGTCTAAACATTAAAACCGTCGTTCTTCGTCCTTTCAAAGCTTATCATGAAAGTTACGCTCTCAAGTTCAATCAACATAAAATATTTTAATAAAACTAATGACTCTGGATGACAGCTTTCATGGCTTTCTGTCAGTGGCTTCGAAAAACATCAACAAAATTCTTGAGACGTCAAAAAGCAAAAGTTTCTTCGCCGTCCAAAAACTGCGGACCACGAAACTTAGCAATCAAAGTCAGAACTACGGAACAAAAGCATGCAATTACTACGCAATGTGATATCCTAGAAAATAATGAAAGACAAATTCGACACCAGCATGAAAAAGTTTTAAGGACAACTTTCTTACCTTCCTTCGTAGCGAAGCACGCAAACAAACCTAAAATTATTATCGATATCGTCGACTTGCAACCTTTAAATTAAAGCTGACATGGAGGACGCAACGACACTGTATGCCAGGAGTTTTCTATAGGGAAATACGGTGTATGTGCAGGTTAAAAACAGATTCTCGTTTGTTTTAATTTTACTGTATCGTAACACAGAATCAACGCAAATGATCGTTTAATAAAAATAGACATTTGTTTAAAATGAAAGGATGACGCTATATATTGACAAATTTTTCAAATCAAAATATGACAAAGTAAGAAAACTGTGTAATTAAACAAGAACTTCGCCGCTTTCGGTTCCAAGACCGGATGAGAAATAGGATGGGGACCGTGGAGAGGTCTAAAACGTAGACATCTACACAACTCCATTGCCGTTATCAAACTTAATACCGACTTAGTCGTAGCTCTGATTATCAGAAACTACAAAGCCTGTTGGTAAACTGAGGAAGACTTTGAAAAGTCGCCGATCAGCTACTGCATCTCGTCATCTGAAAGCGGAAGACGTAACAGCACGGCGACAGTTGTCAAAAGTTGAGAAGAAGACAGCGGAAATACCACTGAGCAACGAAACCGCAGCTCATTCTGAACGGAGAAGACAGGCAGCGCAATGCCATTATAGCACGCCAGATAAGCTTATACAAAAGCGAAGTAGTGGGTGCTCGCAGGGAAACATCTGGAACCTTTCCTCTTCCAAAGCGAAAGAGCAAAAGATGGTTCATGAGGTTGTAAGTTGCCGATTGGATATAAGTGAACTTCGCCAAAGAAAGTCCCTGGTTCTGGAATTCTGAATCTCAGGAAGTGGAAGCTATTCTACGTAGGTGCCGGCTGAACGATCGCGTTCAAGCTGGCATTAGTGTTATGGTAGAACCTAGATAGAGTCATTGAATGGATGTCTCACATTGAAATAGTGGCAATCTGTCAACTGAAGCGACAACAATTTAAAGCGTTGACCTTGTTACAAGTATATGCGTCCAATTTGGAGGGAGAATACAAGTCCTCACTCAAGGAAGTAGAATGCTCATGGTACGAAGTACCGACTACAGAGATTCTCATTCTAATGGGTGAGTTTAATGCGCATGACATTGTAGACACTGAAAAGTAGAAACGGCCCTAACGACAACATAAATAACGATGTGACGTTGATGCGGTTTTACGTCAATGACGAGCAATTTGTTATGAACTTCGTCAGTATACTTGGCACAGGTAAGATTGTGTGCATATGTCAATGATCGATTTGATTATAGTATCATCTGACTTTGACGTTCGTTAACGCACGTTCGCGTGCAGAGTTTATGAAATTAAAGTTTTATGATACATAGTCTCCCTTTCATAAAACTTTGCATTCTATTATCGCTACAGGTTTCCGAAAGATATATAATTTATGGCCGCTTGTCATCTTCATGCAGCCTCTTGCAGTATTACGATGTATTTGCATTGAAATCAGGCCAAAATATTCCTGTTGGTTTGTCTCCCAATGGGCCAGCTATATTGTGCGGTGTTTTAATATATATCGTGTTGTAGACGATCACTTGAGCAATCATGTTATACAACGTTCACTTGCTTGCTTATTTATTCCTGGTTGAATGTTCAGCTCTGTTGCAACTTCTATGGCCTGCTAGAGAGCCGAGAGCTGACAACTACAGTAGATGATGCTGTAACATCTATTTAACCTGAGTATTTCTATTTTATCGTATATGTTCGAAAATGGTAATATCTGGAATAATTTCTGATTTTGTAAATTTTTCTAGAATTTTCTCAGTCTTATCTGCGCCTTTGATACAAAACAGTGACATTTAGGAATTATTTTTCAAAAGGAGTGGCAGATATAATGGGGAATTCAGAGATGGGTAACAGTGGCACTGATATATTCGCTATTCTGCTGAATGCAAGATTTCGTAGTCGGTACTTTTCAGAAAGTACTGCAGCTGGTCAGAATGTTGCTCAGAAGTGGCATGGCTTTCGCAGTAAGCTTTCAACCAGGTTTTACAGCATCAGTTTAAATGTCCACCGTTACATGTTAAGAATATACGAGGGAGGAATCAATCGAGCAGTACCTTGTTTTGAATCCATTAATGGAATAAAACATTATACAGTTTAGTAATCCACGGCATTCGGAAAGACCTGGAACAGACAGACGCTGAAGCGTACACTGAGATTCTTCTGTTACAGTCACATTCAATGATAGAAGTTGTTTTAGGTAGCAAACCACTGCTGAAAGAATTGTCGGCAACAAGTGATCTGAACGTTACCAAAGAACAATCTCGTAGAACATAGCAGCTGCAGAGGTAAATCTTTGCAAACGCTTTCCAAAATCCTTGGTGACACAGTACTCTGAGAATTGACTTTAGCAGAACGAAAATCAAGTCAGGCGTTGAGCACCACTGTGCATTTTTGCGAGAAGCAGTCCCTTACTACAGATTAGCTGTACTTGTTTAAACAGGCCGTATTTATTTAGAGTGATAAAGTCTTCGTCAGCTTCAGGCTGAAGTCAGGATTCTTGCAGAAAAAGAGGGCATGTATTTGCGAAGGAATTCTTTGCAGGACCAAGCTACTAATACCTGGAGTCCATACTTGTCTACGTGATAGTTGCTGCCCTTGTTTTCGTTTGTTCGGTCGGTTGCTCTTGCCTTTACAACGCATAGATAGGCAATGTACTGACTGCTGTATGTCCCTACCCTGTGTTCTACGATAC